CCAAATGTGATGGGCTTTGTCCACTTTCAGTTTAATTAAAGGGTAATTAAGCTAGTTTAACCTATTTCTCTGATTCAGCAAGGTTCTTCCTCATTTACTTATTTTTAAATAAAACATATGAAATTTATAAAAAATTGTCAACACAGCTTGGAGATCAGAGATGGTGTTTGGGTTTGGACTGGACCCCTAGGAAGAGAAGGTTGGTAGAAAATAATATGATATTGGAACAGAGCTCTCTGATAAGGAGCCAAGGTCACAGATGACCTCATGGACCAATTCGGTTTGGATTAATTGTTGGGCTTCTATCAGATGATGTTAGGTAAACTTATAATTGGTTTACATAGAACCATGTTCGCTTGCTATTTCTAGTGGCTCCCAGCTGCCAGCTGGGATTGGGCTCTGCAGGCAAAAGCATAGCATGAAAAGCAGAGGATTTGAGTCTAAGCCCAGTGCTGCACCAAAAGGTGTTAGCTAGAACCAGTAAACCTGTGACAAATTTCCAAAATATATTTCATGTATTTTATTGACACTCATTTATCTTATTTGGCACTGCCAGTGAGTGAAGGAATTTGAGTCCAGATGTACTGTTATGAACATTTGTTCAATAAATAGGCAGGGGTCAAAAGCAGCCATTGAAATATTCAGAATTATCTATGATGACCAAAAGAGATAATTATCTATAGATAGCATTTCATGGTAGTAGTGGAATAGCAACTATATAGCATATCCCTGATTTTTTTCTGCATCGATTCAGTCTATCAATTAAGCAGATACTTTTATAGCAGTCATTCCCAACGTTTTCAATATAGACTACAGTTACTTTATACATTATAAAATATAAAATACAAGGATAAAAAGACTCCTATTCCCAAAGTACTGTTTCCAGACTTAAAATAATAAGCACATAAATCTGTCAGATGTCATGTGTTAGTTATAATAATGCAAGTAGCCATGGGAACAGACATAGAATTCTTTGTTTTTATGTGATGCTTTCATAAATACACTTAACATGAATGACCACTGAATTCTCGTACTGCTTTTGTAGTTCATTAGGCGATCATTTTGGGAATGGAGGTGTTCTCTTTGAAAAATTGATATTGGTTATTGTTCAGGCCCCTGACTTTTTATTTTTCCTCTTCAGAAATATTTTCAGGAAGAGCCCTACTTGCAGATATCCAAGGAACATTATATAGATACATGGTGGCTTGCTTTCCATAATGCAGGGTACGGTATTGAAACCCTTCCTGTAGAAATGCTGCAGCAATTGCAGAAGAGTTTTCCTTTTCTATAAAATGGTTATGAAAACAGAAACAATGTAGCACATAGCCATAGAAAAAGATCACAAGATCCATAGACATCAAAACACTAGGTGTGTAATTCTTAAAGCAACAGATTCAGTTTGTGTCAAATTCCTTATAGCATTGTTTTGGCTTTATAATAATGCTTATACCTCTTCACCCGATTACACTCTTTAAAGATATACAGAGTCAGAAAGGATTAATTCTATTAATCATGGAAGATCCCTAAACTGAATGAAACTACACCCTAAATGAAAAATTATGTGCATTGGATTGTGCTGCACTGGCCTTAAACGAAAATTTGCACTGGCCCATTGCTATATAAAATATTCCTCTTTTTCCAGAAATAATGCTGTAACTAGAAGTGCGTATACGGTACGTGTTTGATTGCTCCCTCACTTGTATGAAAGTTCTTTGAAGGAAGTTGCTAACACGTATATGATTTATAAAAAGAGAGGACAACATTTTCCAAATTCTTAACATACTATTTAGGAGATAAATATTTTGGGGATTATTTTAAGCTTCATTAATTTTTAAACTCTTGCTTGGAAACTGAATATGGTATTGCATTAAATTGATTATTTTAATGCCTTATAATTGCCACTGATATTTGACTCCCCCCCTTTCATTTTCTTAAACTACAGAAAGTGCTGTATAGCAAGGGAAAACACAATACAGTAACCGCAGGTAGCAAGAAATTAAAGGGAGACTAGAACATGGATATCTGATTTAAGTAACAGGTTGGAAACTAGGATGTAATCCAGATACTAAAGAAGAGAAGCATCTTCTTACATTCCTGCCATTGAAATGCTGCAGAAGATGAATGGAGCAATCCATTCCCCCCTCTATCAAAGTCTAACAGATTGGTCAAATCTGTTGCAAGCTAAGGTTCGCATGTTGATGTCTAAACAAGAAAATCTGAGTTCACAGGTATATAAAAATATTGCATACAGCTTGTTTACATGGAAAATAGTTGGAAATTTGACTAAACACAGAAAGTTACAACTACAGTATTAAGAAACATTTTAAAAATTGTAGTTCTATATTGGAACTCAAATAAAAAGAACATTAAAATACTTCATAAAAATACATTATTTGTTGTTAATGTCACACCACAGAATCTGCTAAATGCTCTGCAAGCTACTATAATCACCTTACCGTGGTTGTACACATGTACTAAATTAACTTATGTGGTAATACAAATTAATATAATGATTATGCTAAACATAAATGTATATTTCCTGTAAAAGGAAATATATCCTCTAATAGGTAAGTTCAATTCTGTGTTAATGATCCAATTGAGCAAATCTTCTGCAGGCTTATTTTCTCTTCTGGTTTTATACAAGAGTCTTCAGACAAACAAAAAAAAACCACAGCTGTTTTCCATATTAACTTTGCTACTTTATCAGTTAATAAACAGAGTCATTTCACACATTTTGACTTGCCTGCAATTTTTGAAACTAAATTTATGATATTTGGAAAACTAAAGAATGATACATTAAATTGTTTGCTGCATAAATGGATAATCTGTTGTAACAAATAGAGGACAATTTCCAAGAGTCCATAGGTATCTTAGATCAATAGGAGGGAAAACCTTTATATGATGGATGCAGCTCCAAGAAGCCAAATAAATATGAAATCTGAGGAAATATTTGGCAGTTGCCATTTTGGTTTAGATTGTAGTACATGTTACTGGATCAAGCTCTTCTAAGTTATTCTGTTTTCACATCAGGTACCAAATATCTTTGAAAATTCTTAAGCAAATGTTGAACATATTTTCATCCCAAATTATTTGTCCCTGGAATATGATATCCAACATTCAAATCCTTTGAACATGGAGGTACTTATAACTAATTAACATAAACTTACCTTCCCAAGTCTGGCACTTTATACAGTGCACATATGTTATGACTGCATCATGCAAATTCCCAGCTATGGGATACCATTATATCTGAAAGACTATAGGTTTGAAAAACTATAACAAAGCAATCTGTGCTTGAATATATTATAAGTTATCAAACATGTCAACTTACAGTTCTTTATCTTTTTATTGCTATTTTGAGTCAGATATTAATCAGTTCAAATACCTCTCTGTTCTACTTTGTTTGCTATCCTTACTACATAATACTAAAAAAAACAACTGCAGGGTAATCAAATGACAGTGAATCATTAAGAATTTTTCATTAAAATTCAATACACACACACACACACACACACAAATATACATATGTAAAAAGATTATTAAAAATGAAAAATGATAATATGTAATACTAATATCACATCTGTTAAAACCTAATTAATTTTCATGTTGACACAAAAACATCGAGATGGACAGCTCCACTAACTTGTTGCAGCAAACACAATATGGCCATTTTGTTCTTGTCTAATGCCACACTGCTACTGCATGAGATTGAATGTATTTACTCCCAACAAATACTTCCATATAAGCATATACCAAACACAGCAGGCTTTATGTCCAAAGATCATGTACAGGGCTGCATTGTTAGAATCCTATTATGACACCCTTAACACCAACAAAACCATTGTAAAAAAGGCTATCAATGATCCTAAAAGGAACTTATGAACATGACTAATAAACAGTAAAACCATGAGATTTAAAGTGTTGTACAAAATATGCCCTTTCAAAAATAATTAATAAATAATACTGTGCAGTATAGCATCTTCTTAAAATATATGCAAATATATCTTGACATGCATAGAGGAACTTAAGCTGTTTATCTTCAAGTAAAGCTGAGAACAGTTAATTGTATATTTCCAAGAGGTTCAGACAATCTAACCCAAGAGGACACAGTTTTCATATTTGGTGCTTATTTGGTGGGTATGAATTTGTTTTACAAATTTTATTTTTGAATACATTGAATGTATTCTTAAAATAATTTCAAGCTAATTCATAATTTATTTCCTAGACCAAATATGTAAAATTGTCTGATTCTTAATATGAAAGATACCCCACCAAACAAATTAAATAGCTTTCTGCTAATCAAGTAAAAATAAACATGTTAAATATTCAAGATACGTGGGCAAAGTTCATAATATAACACAGTTTTTACTTGTGTGTGAGAACACACACATACCTAAAATGTGACTTCACATACTTTGTCTCATCTTTGATGGGATTAAAATTATTGCCAAATTCCAGCATGTACTGAATATTCCTTTCCCTGCTTAAGAAAAGCAAGACATCTGCAACTCGAGGTCATGGATTCCATGAAACATTCCTCAAGTGCACCAAACCTGGAAACAACAACTTCCTAGTGCACATACTCCCTGGCCAAACATGCACATGTGCAACAATGAACATGTGACCATCCTGAGGCAGGTTCGACTCCTCTTTCTGCCTCCCTCCTGTGGCAGCCCTTTGCAGGAAGATGAGTTGCAAGTGGCCCCAAGCCCCAGCAGGCCAGAAGCAGCCCCCACCCCATCCTACATTCCTGCCGCCCTTCCACCTTGGCAAGCCAGCCTCAGGTGGCCATGACCTTTGGTCTCGCTACAGCCCAATATGGATAATGCCACAAGCAGGGGCTCGCTCTTTCTAGCTCTTTCCAGCCCCTGGGTAGACACATTCCCGGTATTTTCGCACTGCCACGGCCAGGTCCCTCCTGGACGGTCAGGACAGGCGTTCCCCACCTCTGTGTCGCTTCCAGCAGAAAGAGGAACCGGGGTGGGAGGGGGGCGCCTTACCAGTCCGTCTGAGGCTCGTCGATGACCAGGAGCAGCTTGAACTTTTTGGCTGCCGCTGTGGAAGACGAGGAGGCGTCCACCAAGCCCGCCGAGGCTGCCGTCTGCTTCACGGCGTTGGAGAGGGAGCTGAAGAAGCTGCTGCCCACCGACTGCTGCTGCTGCGGCGGCGGCGGCAGCGGCTGCGACGGCTGAGGCGGAGGTGCCGCCGGCTGCGGCGGCTTGCGCTCCGAGGCCGGGGAAGAGGACGAAGGAGATGCCGAAGAGGCAGGCGGAACCGCCGGAGGGGGAGGCTGTTGGGGCTCCGGCCGCTGCAGGTCGGTCATGTACCCATTGGGCAGGTTGGCGATAAAGCTGCTGTCCGAGAGCCTGCGCCGCAGAAAGTTCATCATTTGGCCGCCGAGCCGAGGGAGAAGTGGCCGACGATGAGAGGTGAGAAGAGCAGAAAGGAAGGTTCGCTGGCGGCTTTTCCGCTTTGCCCGCCGCCTCGCTTGGGTGCCGGAGAAGGAGGGAGCAGGAACGCTGCCGCTGCTACGTGCGGGAACCGCCGCGGCTGCTGCTAATGCCGCCGCTTCCCCGCTTGTCCCACCCTCCCGTCTCTAGGTGGCAGCCGCCCAAGCCGTTGCCGCCTAGCCTTGCCTTGCCTCCCTTGCACTGCTCTGAAGGCGGGCGGAGGGAAGCGGCGCTAAACCGCGCCCTTATTGCCTGCCCCGAAATCAACGGGGGTCCTCTTGAAAAGCCCGCCTTCAGCCACCGACTCCCGTTCCTCGGCGGGAAATCTCCGCCATCCTCCCCGCGCGCAAAAACTCCTCTCAAAAAAAGAGCCCTGCTCCTGTTTTTCCACCCTGCGCGTTTAGTTGGGAGATGCTGGGGGGGGGGGGGGGGAGCGAGGTCTCCGCGGACCAGGGTCAACTCCTGGCTCTGACCATTTTAAAAAGCGAGGCTCCGCTTCATCCGTGCAAAAGAGGGTAGCTGTCAAGGGAACGCGAGATCGCCATGGTACCTGTGGCCCCGGCACTGTCACGCAAAAGGCAGCTTCACACAGGTCCTCAAGAGATCCAAGCTTTGTTTAGGATCTGAAGGGCAGCATCGACACATAGGGCAGCATCGACACCCTGAACTTGTTTTTAAGCCTATCATCTGGAAGTGTCCTGGACGTTATAAAAACAACAGCCACCAAATGTTTAACATTCAATAGCCAAATCGGTGCCTGGGAATCTCAGCATGAAAGATATTTTAACAGAAGACAAGCATTTACACTGTAGAGGTATTACAACACACCCTTAAGGGCAAAGTCACATTAGGAAGCTGTCATGGAGAAGGTCCTCCTTAGTCCCTACCAGCTGTATCCTGGGCACCCTGATGGAAGGAGCGGTTTCTCTGTCCAAGTTTTAATTTTTATATGACATAATTTCTCAGACTATACCCTAAAGCTTCAAGCTGAACATTTGGTACGGAGATTAAAAACATTTCTGAAGAACAAGATGGAAAATCTTAAATTCAGGGATGAGGGAACATTCTCACTTCAATCAGCACATTACAGCTTCTAGCAGATATATTCAAGAGGCTGCAAATAAAAGTGAAAAGAGTGCTTATTCACTGAATCTCTCTTCTACAATATCAGTATCTCTGATATTAATCCTTGCCTATTGCTTATTTCCAGCAGCCGTAATTACCAGTAAAAGGTCATTCAAGGTGTCAGAAATAATAAACCTTCATCTTGAGCAGCTGAAGACCATCAATAACAGCCACCATAACAAAAGCACCTTTTCTGGGTTGGTAGCTAAAATAGCCAGACTTTATCATGTCATTTTGACATGATATATGTATTCTTAAGGTAGGCACAAATGAGATCAGAATATGGGGGATATGTTGAGCACAGTTAAAAGTAATTTTTCCTTAGGTAAAGAGCCACACACCTTGACAACCTCCAGTTCCAGTTGTGCAGATGAGCCAAATGATGATTACACAAAAATAATCACATCTTTGAGCAAACCTTTACTTGCTAAATGTCTGCATTGTAAATGTCAAGAAAACATCATTCAAATAACTGACCCTCCTTAAATACAACATAAACTTCCTGTTCATTATAAGATATTCTCCAGGACCAACACAATATATTACATTTTGCAATATATTTATGTCTAATTTGGGGAGAGCAATTAATGCAAAAATATCAGCCTTTTGAATAAGAAAGTTAGCTCTGCTAGATTCAGATTCACTTATATCTTAAAAATGAAATGCCAAGAGCTTTTAGAACATATTCTGTTAAAAAAGAATATAAAGGACTGTGCTTCTTTTTGGTATTTTTCTATTACCTGTTATTAAATTCTTGGCTCAGACTTCCAGACTTCCATTATTACCTGAATACATTTCTGGTTGAAATTGAACTTGGCAAAAGAAGAACTCAATGGGTCAAGACTAAAGCTGGAATATATAATTTGAAGCCAAGCATCATGGGGGGGGGCATGCATGGGGAGGGGAGAATATTTATGTATGGCAAATTTACCTGTCACTTTGACCCAGCTAGTCAAGATGACCAAGCATTTTGCTGCTACAATAATATGATGATGATAAACAAATCTATTTAAAAAAAGGACACTTGAGATTTTAAGCACTGTTTTATACAATACAGTATTTTCAAATGTTTTTGTCTTTATTATCTTATTCCCCTTTCTGTAACGAGGACAGCCGCAGGAAAACAGATTTCTATCTGGAATTTCTTTGAGATCTACAGCATTACCAAATATTACCAGTTTATTTTGCTTATTATTGCACCTGTGTTTATTGTATGCTTATATTAATTTTTGTATGGTATGGTTATAAGCTTATTTATAGCCATACTATTGGAAATCTCCTTTATAGCCATCAAGTGAAGTTTATAAATACTATTAATTAAGATAAATATAAATAGCAGTACTATTTTAAATACCATTTTATAATGTTCTTAACTTAAGAATTTTTCATAAGCTTCATGCAGTTTACTGGCCTTTTTCTGTGAATGCTAAACACTGTCAGTTTGCTTCTCCTAGAGAGGTATATTAGTCATCAAAATCAGTTGATCTTGATACAGTAGCTGCCAACTCTATAAACATCTAGCTCTGCATGTGATTAAAACAACTAAAGGAGGAATTTTTAAGTAGGCACCATATGCTAAATGAGTTTATAAATCCATCCTGACAGCCGGTTGGGATCAAGCAATCTCAGGTTTTGCATCATATTTGCGGCAATTTGATAACTTATTAACACCAGATCCAGTGAATAAATCTGAATCTGTGGGTGGAGAATGTATTCCAAGCTGGCTTAATTGCTGCAGATTTTTACAGTGCAACCTTTCTTTAAACATCCCCATGACTGAACTATCCTGAGCTGAATGCTATCACCCTAGGATAATTTGATTAACTGAAACATGAAGCCAAGTGAAATGGGGAGTTTTACTATGCATCACAGTCATTGTACAGCTCAAAGCATGGTCTAAAATGGTCGTCTATAATCTCATGTTTGATTCTTTAAATAAATCTTGGTGTATCAGTTCTTCTGCAGCATTCTTTTTGAATTCTTCTTTTGAATTCTTCAAAAGAAGAAATCAGAGAAGAAAAATGGAGTGGAATCAAAGACTGAAGATGACTAAGGGAATCCATTTCCTCAGGCCTGACAGTCTATTTACACAAAGAAGGTTTGCAATAGGAACTTTGTGTACGTACTGAATGCAACAAAAATATTTTCAATCAAAAATATAGCTCTTCTCACCTTTCTACCATTCTGCCACTATTGTTACAGTTGCCAGTAATTTTAGTTCACATTTTTTTAATTAAAGGAAAAACAGAAATAAATATTTTATTTATTTTATCAATTGTGATGTGAGGTAGGAGAAAATGGAAAACAATGATAGGCTCAAGTTGAATGATTACTTAATTGTAACATTATAGTTTAATTACTAGGCTACAACATCTGCCAGTATTCATTAGGTACTTGATTCTGACAGTATTTAGAACTTTCTTTTTTATTCCACATTGTAATCAAAAACACCCTCACCCCTTTCCTAAGAGGTCTGTAGGGGGGCATGCATAAGCGCACCAATGTGCCTACCGTCCCTGTCCTATTGTTTCTCTTATTCTTTTATTTTTCTTATATGTACCCATTTCATGTATTCACAACTATGTATACACTTATACTTATTATCTTGTAAACAATTGGCAAATCAAATAAATAAATAAATAAATAAATAAATAAATAAATAAAAACTCTCCCATTAAGTTTGGATTGTTGTTACTGCCATCCTGAAATATTTGTTTTGAAACCACCTATTAAAAACAATAAGGATTAAATGTTTAGCTGGATCATAACAATTTACAAACAGGAAAACACTAATACAGTAAATTTCTAGTAAATTTTGCACTCGTTTTTCTACACAGTAATTACAATAATATTTTGTTTCCTGTTCATTCTGTTTTAATAGAGTAACACATAATCATTTCCTGGATGGCTAAATAAATTCATACTTTATTATAACATTATGCTGTCCATGGTGCTGCACTGTAGAAAATTGACAAATCTATCATAGCACAACATTATCCATATAATGAGAAGACTGGAATAGAGTTGCTTGTCCATATAGCTTTGTCTCCCCAAAAGAATGGAAAAGAAAGATTTTAAATACAGGTAAATTTGATAATTTTTGAAAAGTTAATATATATCACTTATCTCAAAGAATATGTTTTTATACATACAAAAACAACTTGAATTGTCATTTTCAGCTTGAAAATTAACCTTTTGATAATGAGACAATAACATAATATACCTACAGACCAAAGTTCTATGGAAACTGTACAATATACAGAAAATATGTTACTTTTTGTTCATGAAAACAATTCCCTTGATGTTGGCGAAGGTGAAGGTTGACCTTGGATCTCTTTGTATGTAGAGAAATGTGTGCATAACCTTGTAGAAGGAACTCAGTTTAGGCCAAATAATTGATACCTCTGTCCTAGGAAAGAAGTTTGAGAAAGAAATTCAAAATTATCCTGAATCAAGTCTGTTTGGTATAAGAAAGGGCAGAAGGAAATTCTGGCAGGCTTTTATTCTGTTATTATGCCCTAAAACAGTAAAATAGCATTCCTGTAAAGGACAGAAATCTAGAGAAAGGAGAGAATTAGTTTTTTATAAGAATTATAAGTCATTCTTAAATATTACAGGAAGAGCATTGGAGGAACAATTCTTGCTATGTGTCAACACAACATTCTACTACAAAGTAAAATAGAGGCCATGGTAGCTCACCATTGAGGTCAACAGATCGCAGCTTGATTTCCATGATCTGTGAACCAGGGAGGGACAAGAAAAGAGCCTCCCCCGATTGCCTCCTGGCATTCAGGCATCCTGTGGGTAAAGATAA